CCCCTGCCATCTCCTCGCTGGTAGACCCTAAACTACGGCGGCGATCGGTGGGAAGAGGGGGGGGGGGTATATATAGGTTTCGAAATTTCATGCGTATATGTTAAATGCCTGAGTTGACTTTTCAGGTTAATTACGACTGTTGGCAGTGCCCTGAGGAGTTATTGAGCGTTCATTGGAATGGGAGGGGTACATTGTTGGCTGCTGTATGTAAAGTGAATCGTTTTTTTATTCTGACATATCAAGGCAATGTTGTCTACGACGTACAGGTGCCATTGCCCATGGCTGGTGGCATCACGGCATTCACGTGGGCGCACGGCGATCGTATCGTTCTTGCAACATCCGGTAATTTCTATTTCCTTGAATTGATGCAGCTTTTTTATGCGGCAGCGGAACTGCATAATCTGTTCGTCAGCCTTCTTCTGCTGGTTTTGGCGCACATTCTTTTGTTGAGCTTCCGCACAAATCCCAGCTTTTCGTTGGGTTGCCGGAGTGGCAGTGAAATAAATAGCAATAAAAATAATGATGGAATAGTAATCATAATTATGAACAAAACCATAATAATAAGATGGAAAAATAGTAATGTCGGTAACAATTTAATAATAATCGTGGTAGTGATAATTTCAGGATTCGATAATTCTACTAACAATAATAATAGTTGCAGTTGTTCTTCAGTTTACAATTATTATGCATTTTTTGAAATAATGTGATACAACAAAGTGTTAATAATAATCATAGCAGTAATAATATCAATGTTCTGATAACAATAATAATTGTTACAATTATCCTTCAGTTTTGAATTATTATGCATTTGTTTGGGAAAAAATTGCTACAAATGTGGAAAATTCTAAAAAAAAAAAAATATATCGAAAATGGGAAAATATGGGAAAAATGGAATGTAAAAAATGTAAAAAAGAAAGATATGTTGGTGCAGGGCGAGGTAGAGGTTCTTGCAAAAAAGATGATATGTCGTATTTCACCCAGTTAAACTTTTGTGGTACCTAACTTGACTGATGAGTGGGAGATGCTGAAAAGAACATGGGCTATACACAAAAACCAAAACGTTATGTCTATTTTCCGTGCAACTTGAAGTCTGTTTTCGTTGTACTTTTTGCTGATTTTACCCTTTTCTCTGCCATTGCTCTTCTTTTATTCAGGGAAGCGAATGTTTGCTAACAAAGAGTGGTTGTTTGTTCTAGAACCACTTCTGACAGTTTTAGCACTGCGGTATCTTTGCGTTTGAACTTTTCAAGAAATTGAGCGCAGTCATCATCGATGTTTTTGCCAAATTTAATTTTTTTTGTCAGTTCTCGATAGCTTCTGTTAGGGACTGAATTGCGAATACTTTGGCTTTTCAGCAGAGATGTTTGCTTTTCCTCCTGTTTTTTGCCCTTTCAAAACCAATATTAATTTTTTTCCCGATCAAAAAACTGGCTGAATGTGTTTGATGTAATGCATCCAGAATTAATTATGCTCCAGTCTTTGCTTATCCATAAAGATATAGTCGTTATCATTCGTTGTTGTAGTATTTTGGCTCCTCAGACGCTTGTTGAAGAAAGCGTATGTTATGTAAAGTTGATTTAACAAAACCTGGTAGATTTTATCCCCTTCCGTTTCTTAGGGAATGCCGAAGCAACCAGTAAACCCTTCAGAATTTTCGTTACTTCCTAATAAAATTTACCTCAGGAGCGAAGTACCTTGACTTCAGAGAAATTCCTGCGTTGACTTTATTTTCCGTAGAAACCTTTAAGGCCCTTTTCCGCTAAAAAAAGATTTCCTAGGGGGCGGATGCGAGGGGCGGGGAGGGGGATGATAATTTAGGCGATAATTTATACTTAAATTCAGTAGGGCCCACCGCTTTCTTTAAAAACCAAGATCAGTGAAAAATTTATCTGCTCTGTGTATCTTTAGAAAATTTAGGCAGTGAATTTTTAAGATTTGCTTTTCAATAATTTTATCTCATTTGCTTTTTTTGCTAAAAATTTCGACTTTATAAGCTTTTTCAGGTAAGCGACTGGCCATTGGACGGGTTGTGCCGGATGTTCCAACGCTTTCCGTTCTGGTCACTTACAGTGTGTGGCAGTTCATGAACAAGTCCGGGCGCCTGGTTGATATGCTTCCAGTGCCGTCACGCGAAAAAAGTGTCATCCGACAGCTAGATCATCACTTAATTAGAGTTAGCTTTTCCTATTATACATTAGATTATAGTAGTTGTAACAGCCAGTCTGAGTAGTCAAAATGTGATAATGAGTTTGATGAGTTATAGTAATAAATAGTAAGGGATAATAAAGGATAGAAAAAAGAGCTTTGAATTGGAAATAAAAAGATATATTAGCAAGAGAAGAATTAAGAAGAATCAAAAAGGAAGGTAGGAAATAAGAATTAGAAATTTGGTGAAATTATTATATTGGTTAGAAATGTTTCGATCCATTAAGTCGTACACATTTCTTACCATTGCCACAACTGGACCTCGTCAGTACGACGATTATGGTATTTGTAGTTGGTGGAAATTAAATTTAAATTAATTGTATAATCCATTTTGGTAGTAATAGAATGTATAGAAGATGAGTAGTAATAGGATAGGAAAAGTAATATCTTACCGCAAATAGGTTTGTGGGTTCCATATCGTGATAGTATAAGTGTGGACGGGAAAGTTTCGGTCCATTAAGTCGCATACATTCCAAATCAGTACCACAGCTAAACTCCGCCAGTACGACCTTTTATGGTAACTGACAAAAATTCGTTGCGCAGAAGAGATGTTGAAATTGAGGGAAAGTGCCCCGAAATACAGTGATTTTAGTGTCGTGTGCCGTCCGAGGATGAACTGCTGGAAAAAGTCTATGAGCCGACCGAATGGCGATGGTACTGTACAATCCGTCCGGTGCCACGTAGACCGAATACCTACGTTTTATGTATGGAGCATATGGCCGGTTTGGTTCCACTTCTCATAGGCAAACAGACAAATAGACTTATTCCGCAATTTCAAGTTTCGTTGTACAACTCGGCTTCGTTGCTGGAAACGTCGGATAATGGAAACTCTGCTCAAGTTGGTTAGTTTTCTTCACTTCCTTATAAAAACAGCCATTGCAGTGATCGAAATATATCCTGTAGATCGTTTGAAGCAGTGGATCCATTAAGTACAGCATGTTACTAGTAACATTTTGACTAATAGTGCCCTTCGTAACAAATTACTTTCGATAAACATCTACTGTTTTTATTGGCATTTGCTACCACTCCGGCTATTCCCCCAGTGTCTCTGCCTCTCATTGAGGGCAAATACGGAAGGAGTTTTTGACTTTTTGACATGCTTGAAATACTTAAGCCGATTCTTTCTTATTCATTTTCCATTTTTTTTTTTTTGTTATAGTAAATCAATACCCACCGGCTATCCTTTGTGTGGGCCGCTATTTATTTTTTGTACTACTGTGTTGTCTCTTCCTCTTTACTGCTGCTTCCAGTTCTTGCCTTGAACGCCTGACTAGTACCCTTGTTCCTCTCCTCTATCTTGCCCCCAAATCCTGCCTCCAGAGCCGAATCTGGGCACCCATCATCTTCTAGCGCCCAATCACTGTCACCATTTATGGTCTCGAACTCCTAACTAGAATCTGTCTTTTTGCCATTTCCACTTTTTATTGGTCACGAAAAAAATTTTGGCGGGCTCGTACGCGGATACCACGCTTGACCGGGGGCTGGGTTTGAGCCCACTAATACCCGCTTGGGCGGGAAACATTACCTCAATATTTCAGCCTTGTAGCTTCTTAGATCCCCGAGTTATGAACTATGAAGTTTTGTTTATTTTGTCCATTATGCTCACAAAATCTAGTGTTTTTTGATTTGTGCCTGGGCATTTCTTGCAGAAGATGTAGGTGCATTTGCTCGACCTTCAACTCAACGTAATTCTGTCTGGCGACGGAGTAAGCGTCAGTTGCGAGCCATGATGAGCCGCCATATGAAGCGCCCGTTGAGCAGAACCAACGAAAAATTAGTTCAGGTAATATGCTTTTGCTTGTTTTAAACATTTTGGTGAGTTTATTGGGCAACAGACTTTTTTCGTACTTAACTCTATCGCGTACAGGCACCAATCCGGGTCTCAAGCTAAAACTAAAATAAACTAAAGCCTAAACTAAAGTAACTTTAAGTAGCTATGTTACAACACTATTCCTAGTTGTTGCATAGTTCCAGAGTGAAAGGAGAACCTCCTCCCCCAGGAGTCGTCTTGGATCTGCCTATATCCAGAACTTCATCTGTTATTCTGTAAATTTTTTTTTTTTGAGCGTATTGCACCAAAAAACCTCGTTAAGCATATGTGTTTAAGCATTTCTCAAAATGGCGAGGCATTGACTGGTTTTTGTTGACAATTTATTTTTAATTAGAACACTTCCAAGAACCCCCGTAAGTGAATTGCGAAAAAATATTTGACAAAAAAGTGTTGATGGGCTTGCCAGTATGAATGACCAGTATGTAAAAGTTTTATTACCGATACAATTTTGCTTGTCTTTGCAGGTTTCTTCGAACGTTTGGTGTACCCGATTCAAAATGACTTCTCTGATCATAAATTTTCATCCAAATCTGCTCGCTCAGGTTTCTTTTTGCTCTCCAAAAAGAGATGAACACACGCATATCAGGCTTATCTGACCACCGAATGAACAGCCAGATAGTTTTTTTTTTTACATTTTCCGTTTAGACAGGCCAGCTCTTCATTTTTATATGTTTTTTGCATCTGAGAATTGCAAAAATGCCTACTGTGCATTCTCTCTCTCTCCGTGAGTATGGGTTTTTGCGTTTATCTTTTCGACATTTCGATCTTCAGAAAGAGTCGAATAGAGGGATTTGATTTAAGTGCCACGTATAAGAAGACATTTTAGGATGCAGTCTGTTTCTGTGTTTCATCCCTTAGCTGTAAACACAGACCGAACTATGCATGCGCGTAGGAGCTGAACCTATGAAGCTGAAAATTTTGGCCACTTATTCCACAACTGTGGATAGGTCTCTAGGCGTAGTACTGATTCTTGACAATTCCCTACTTTTAGTAGCGCAAATGGTGCACACATTTTTTGTTTTTGATTGTTATGATTCTTTTAGGTTTTCTACAAAACATCAGTTCTTCACCTGCAGCCACGCCAGATGAAGGTACGATTGGCAGTTTTAGCCACACCTGGTGCAAGTGGTCTGCGTGAATCAGCAAAATGCAATGCTCAGAAAGCCGGCTTCCAGCTGAGCAACAGTAACACATGCTCCAACCGAAGTAGCATCCGAAGCGGGGTCGCCATCGCCCCTAGCGATAGGTAGTATTTTTACTGTTTCTTGAAAAAAATTTGAACAAAAATAAAGCATTAGAAATTAGTAAGTATTTGGAATTTGAGTATTATGATCACATTACTTACTTACTTTAAGTAAGTACTGGGGGCGAGAGCTAGGGAACAATAGATGCAGGCATATTCGATTTAAGTAATTGATTGATTTGAATTCTTCTAGAGACAATCTGATCCGGACACATAACACAGCAAATGATGAGGAACCGCTGATCGATGAAATCGCTGAAGAACCATTATCAGCGGAAGAGAAACTTCTATTTCAGGTACAGTTTCAATATTTTTAGTATTTTACTGCTCATAAAGGGCGGCAAAAGACAGATCGGAGGAAGGAGGACTCGCTTGAGGAGAGGTAATTAATTAATTTAACATACATACAACATAACACTGTGGCACGGATGACAGATAATAGATGAACGTAGCGGTTAATGGAATGGTACCCGCACACGGACAAGCTGGGGAGATCACCAGTGGGAAGGGGAGAGACCTCATTGAACCCCTGTAGGGTACCGCATGGACTGGGAGAGCTCAACAACGAGTTGTATGGAGAAGTTTCCAGTTGCATCGATAGCGTGACAACAGACATATTCAAGTAATAAAATATCACAAGCACACATGTGTTTTGAATGGCTCCATCTAAAAGGATATACTGAAACTTTTTTTTTAAAGATCTGATCCAAAGCTGAATCGTTTCAAATTTTGTTTTATGGCACTTGTAATTGAAGAAATTGTAAATGATATGAAAAGGATTGCCTGACAAAATTAGCGATCGGCTTATTGTGGATTTATGTAGCATTAAAATGCGAATTTTCAATCTTAATTTAGTTTTCTCGTAGACTATCACTGCTAATGTTAGAAATGTATCAGCAGCTGTAATTCATAGTCGCCTGACCAGTTTAGCTCTAAAGTTGTCACTTTTCTGATTGCTTTGACCAAAATTACATTGCTCGGTGGTCAATTTTCTGACAGAATTGATATTCGTCTCATCTTGGCTTGTAGTACGATTGAAAAAAAAGCGATTCTTCCCAAGAGAGCATGTGAGGGGAATTTTTTGATTTCGATGGTGGTACGATAAGTGACTGAAATTTGTTATTATCGATTCTGTTGAGTACTGCCTCATCATCATAAAAAATGCTCCATTTTAGAGTGTTGTGTCGGAATTCAATGATCTAAAAACAGCGGTGGAGCGGCATATTGCGCGTATGAAATATTTCGCTAGTGATCTCGAGAAATCCTCACAGAAGCTGGAACCGTTCGGTACCACCACCACCAGCAGCAGCAGTGTATTACGCGGCTTGCCTCCCCGAATATCGACGAATTCCCAGGATGAATGTGTAGTTAATGCGAAGATACGGCACAGGCATGAAGTGGCTGGCACTGGACAATCCACATCAAACGCCGGATGGCCTGAGCAGTTTGATGACATCGAGGTAACTGCCTCTTCTGCTGATTGTGGAATTTGGATTTTAACACAACTCGGGTTTCTTTTTCTGGTTATTTTTGACTGGTCTCGGAGCCTTGTGTGATAGCTAAACTCGGCTATTTTGAAGAAAAGTGCCAGGTAGTTTTGCTTGTAGGGCATCCCAGTAGTTGGTTCTGTGAGGCTTTTTCTATAATTAACTGCAGAATTAGATTTTTCACATACGAAAAGGGAGAAAATGCTAGAATTCCTACTAAATTCACAGCAAAATGTGCCCTGAGAAGGGTAACTTGTGTTTTTTTTTTAGGGCACACGGTTCCCCTATGCTACCGTTGATGATCATTTCTTTGTACCGTACATCATTTCCAAATTTTGCTTCAAAGTTTTCTTCTTGCAGTACATCGATGAGGATGATGCGGTAGTCATGCGCAACAGCAGTGAACGCACACCTCTAATCGATTACATTAAAACAGCTGAACCCTCACGCAAAGGTAATTTTTGTCCTCGTTTTTCTGGATTAGGTGATTTGATGGGATCAGTGGGGTTCTAATTTATATCACTTTCTTTGACTGCAAGAAGAAATTCTGCTTTCTTTTTCGTACCCTTCTGCCCCTCCCCCCATCTTCCGTTGTGCCTCATGAGGCCGATAGCTCTTCTGTCCTTTTTTTTTTGGAACCCTCCGTTATTCTCTTTGGCACAGTGCAAAGTTGAAAACTGTAACGAAAGTTGGAAGTTCGCTTGCGCCAATGGACCCAATAAATCTTCTGTAGTTCATTCATCCGTCCAGAAATTGGTACTGCTACATACCTGGAAACTGAAACTTTCAAGAGGGAGCAGTTCGCTGTCTTGCCAGCGGATAGTTGCTGTTGAAACCTGTTAGCACACTGGAGATACTTCTGAATGTCCCCACCCGTCAGACGTAGTGAATATGATGGGGAAGAGGGAGAGGAATTGACCTGCCTATCTAAATCGAATTTTCAGTATCCAGCAAAAATTCATCTTTCTTGATGATTCAGGAATTATACGCCTAGTTAGCATGCTGTTCTCATAAAAAGCGTTCCCTCATAACTGACAAACAATGATTGTCAGTACCATGAGTTAACTTCTTCTGTTCCTCTGCGACTCCTAACCGCATGCATAGTTTGGTCTGTGTTTACAGCTAAGGGATGAAACATAGGCTGCATCATAAAATGTCTTCTCTTACACATGGCACTTAAGTCCGCTCCCTCTATTTTGCTATTTAATAGCATAGCATTTGCTTTTTAATGATAGCTTCAGGTCTGAGGCAATTGAACGACATCACCTCAGTGCTGGATAAACTGGCAAAGATGGCGAACGATTTGACGTCTGCTCGCTGTGTTGTGCGACAGTTGAGTGACGAGACAGCGACAACCAGTCGAGATTCAGAGGAATTGTTTTTGCGCACACATCGGCCTACATACGTCAGGGTTGAAATGCTTTTGATGTTAATTTTTAGGAGATACCAATCAGTCAAAGCCAGAAGATCCTGCTTTTTCATCCGTTACTACCCCTCGTTTGGCAGAAATTTGATTTTTTCCCCCGGAATGCAGTTGCCTAGGCGCTTTTTGATGGAACAGTATTGTAGCTTTTGTGGGTCTCGAGATGACGAACATAAAGACACACACACACACACACACACACACACACACACACACACACACACACACAACCCCTCGTCAATATGCGTTTTCTGCATTGCATAGATGCAAAAAATGCATAAAAATATAGCTGAATACTAATATAACTGAAAATGTCGTTTAGGATTCGGTGGTGGACAGTCATGCAACCGTATTATCATTACGATCGCAACTGAAGGACATTGCAAGGAAAGTTTCGCAAATTGAAAAGAAAATTAGTTATGGTAAGTGCCGATACGCGCTGGAAACGACATTTTCATTTAGCATTTTACCGGTAACAAGCATCGCTATCACTGGTTTCCTGTTTTGGGTTTGGACAGGAAGCATATCGGAGGGAGTTTCTTTTTTCAGCAAACTGTGCACTATAGTTTAAGATCTCGAAAACAATTATTTTTTTTGGCTTCAGGAGATGAGCTGCTGGATGAGGTCTGCGGAGATTTGCAGCGCCGTATACAGCACATTAAAGCAGTGCTTGGCGAGCAACCACCAGTCGATGAATCACGATATTGTGTTCCACGTTTCTTAATGTATAATAAGGCACCATTTTGGAATGAGGCAAGCCAGGTTTATCAGGTCAGTTTGCCATCTCTTAGAAATATTTTCTTTTTTTTGCTTTGAATCTCAGCATTACGCAGTGAATCTCTGATATGGATATGCGTGAAGGGGGAAGGAAAAAGGGGGATGGGGGATGGAGGGAGCGGCCTTAAATATCCCCGTGCTTAGAGTACTTAGTGTACATGTAATGCTAGAATAGCGGGATTGGATTTAAGTGTTATATGTAAGAAGACATTTTACGATGCTGTTTGTTTGTGTTTCATTCCTTAGCTGTAAACATGTAAGACACTGCCAGCACTCTTTTAGCAGTATGTTTTCGTTGGTGCTTGAAATTTTAGTTATACAAGAAGCCTGTACTGGGAAAAATATTTTCAAAACAGAATCACGTCATTTATTAGTCACAATAGAGTAATCAGCCTTCATTTCGTTCCTTTTGATTAGCACAGAGCGCATTTTTCGTAACAGTTGCAGTGGTGAGACCACCCTTTAGATGAATGACGTGTAGGAGGGGTTGTTAGAACCATGAAAAAAGAGCAAAATTTAATAATTGCCACGTTTTACTTGCTTTGCTAGCAGCTAAAAAGCATCGCGCATTCGTAAATTAATACGTCGCCCCTTTCCCCCACCTCCGCTCCTCCTCCTCCCTCGCCATCTCTCATTCCCATACGGGGACGAAAAAAAGCCGTTCGGACGACGATCTTCGCACGAATATAGTGGGACATCAGATGAAAACAGAAAATCTCGATTTAGCCATCTAGTTGCTTCACAGCACTGGAGCTCAGCATCGATCGTCCGAAAGTTTTGATAATCGTCGCATTCGCGTTATAATCACTGCATGTCTGTTAGCTTGCTATTAATACTTTTGGTGAGTTGCTTTGCTTCATTGCCATTTTATGCAATTTTTTTGCAATTTCTCTATTCTTCTCTTTTGTGATTGCCACACTCGCATAGCTCCATTCACGCGTTCAGATAGTCCCATCTTTAAAGCTGTCACGAAAAATGCGCTTACGAAAGCAAATTCAGGTAGATCGAACTTTCAAAAATGCGCACCAACACTCTTTCTTTGCTTTCTTCGTTTATTTATTTATTTATTTGTTTAGCGCTCTTATACCTAAGCGTAATGTGCTCACCAATTTATATATCAGGCCAAAACATCAGTGTTTCAAGAAAAAACACACAAATGTGTACACCGGATCCTTTTTTGGCAGCACGCAATGCTCGTTTAGGCGCTTTGCGAGAACTACTCTTCAACCCTTATGAGTCTTTTGTCTCTTAGACGCCTCACTGTAGTAGAACTGTAGCTTTCCTAAAATGCTGGGATGTGAACATCACTGCCAGCCCTCGTATTTGTATGTATTGTTCTCTAATGGACAACAATTGCAGCTGGATTTTGGTGGTCGAGTAACGCAGGAATCGGCGAAGAATTTTCAGATCGAGCTTAACGGTAAACAGGTGATGCAGTTTGGACGTATTGAGAATGGTGCCTATACACTGGACTTCCGTTACCCATTCACCGCTGTACAGGCATTTGCTGTGGCTCTGGCATCCATTACGCAACGCTTAAAGTAGCTGAGAGAGACATAGCTGCCAACGTGTAATTCAGGCTCCAGGCCTTGCTTGATCTCAGCTCATCCAGCGCCACCCCACCATCGTCACCACAACAACTAGCAGCAGCAACAGCAACTTGTTTTAAGCTTAAAAAAAAGTAGAGGAGCAAATGCCCCAGTATAAATTAATGGATCATTCGTATATCTGTTTGCTGTACTTCCATTGAGCTTTTTTTAGGAGAGACCGATGAAGAGAGGGAAGGAGGGGGGGGGGGGGGGGGGGGGGGGGGGG